CCACCCCCTACCACCACCCCCACTCCCACCCCCACTACCACCACCCCCACTACCACCCCCACCACCCCACCCGGAATCCAAACTGGTGGATGAGCCAGCCGCCGAGCGCCGCGCTGCCACTCCAACCGAAGCTGGTTACGGACTCCAGGCTGTTCCACGCGGCGCGGCGCTCCTTCGGCACGAAATCCTGTTTACATGTAGAAGCAACAGCAGCAACAACAACAGGGTCCTTCAGGGACGGTCGCAGCTGACGACGCAGATGTAGTGTGGCCCGGCGGGCACTGTCGCGTACTCATCGTTTTATTTCTTTACGAGCGTGGCTGCTTTATTCAGTCAAATTGCCCGATGTGATAACAGTACCGACAAAAGTAAAAGAGGACATAGTAGGAGAGATGAACAAACTCTAAAACTTGGAGACCGTTTCGGTGGGTGATGCCCTGCCCTGCCCTGCCCTATGCTTCTCTCGCCCTCCTCCTCTCCCCCTTTCCCAGCCCCATTCTCCTCCCCTAACCCCCCTTGTCACACCATGAGTATGGACTTCTGCAGCGGGTAGATGGAGTTCATGATGCAAGTGCGGGCGATGTACACGGGCACCATCAGCCGCTGGTTGTGCCACCGCTGCGGAGGAGGCAGTTAGCACTACTTTAGATCATATAAGCGGCACAGAAAGGAGCAATTAGTTGGTTTCGGCGCGCGGAAATGGCCTCGTCACGGAGATCGGTTTCGGAGCAGAACGGCGTTAGAGAGAAATTTGTCCATTGAGGAAACCCAAATCGCTTAAGAGGCAAGAGAAAAGTATATAGATAGGCCGATAGATAGGAGAGGCTTCATAACAGCATCATGGCAGGAAAAACCAAAACATGTATATCCAAAAAAGAGCAACAGAGAGAACAAGGGGGCAAGGCCTTGGGTGGAGAACCAGGGAGGGGTGGGATGCAGCTCAACCGCTCATACCATCCGATACAAACGACCCGCTGCCAAGTTCCTCTCCTCCTCCCCTGCCACGCATTCAGTCTGTAAGCCATCCTAAATGCAAACACAGCAGGCAAAAACACACCCGCCT